AGAAGAATGGTCTCCAGCTCCAGTCAGGTTGGTGCAAAAGGCATTAGTTCACCATTTTGTTCAAGGCTGAGTAGTGCTCCCAGTGGACACACACCACAGTCTCTTAATCCACTCACATGTTGATAGATACTTCGCTTAACTCCACATCTTTGCAATTGTGACCTGGGCTGCAATAAGCATCCCAGTGCAGGTGTCTCTGGATAAAATGACTTTTTTCCTTTCGGTAAATATGCGGTGGTAAGTCTGCTTTTAGTTCACAGAGCAGTCTTCATGCCCCTTTGCACAGAAAGTGCTGCCTGTTCACAGAAGCAGAGCCTTGTGTGCATGCATCCTGGCGTGTGCTCCCACACCATGGGCTGAGAGTGGAGGACATAGGGCCAGCCACTCAGTGGGTCACAGTCAGATCTTCCACCCTGGAAGCCGTCAAGTGCACAGAGGCCCCAAGCTCACTGCAGTGCACACTTGGGGATGCTGGAAAGCCCCTGCTCAGCTCTGCTGTCCGCATGGCATCTTAGGTTTAGCTCCTGGGTGGTTTTTTTTCATTTATTTATTTATTTGTTTTTGAGACAGTCTCTCTCTATGTTGCCCTTGGTAGAGTACTGTGACGTCACAGCTCACAGCAACCTCAAAACTCTTGGGCTTAGGCGATTCTCAGCCTCCTAAGTAGCTGGGACTACCGGCACCCACCCCAACACCTGGCTATTTTGTTGTTGTTGTTATTGTAGTGGTCGTTGTTTACCAGACCGGGGCAGGGTACGAACCCACCTCCCTCAGTGTACGTTGCTGGTGCCATAACCGCTAACCGAGGGGGCACCCAGCCTCTTTAGTTTTTTTAAGAAAGAGTCTCACTTCCTCATACTCAGTAGGGAGGTGTCTGGGCATCTGTTTTGGCAACACGTCATCACTGATGCCAGCACAGAGCCGTCCACATGCGCCTGGTGAGGGAGGCAGACTGACACGTGAGCACTGTGACATCCAGATACAGCCACAGCCAAAGATCAATATGAGGATTCCTAAGAGTTACAAGAATGAAATATACTTTTCATTGATTTGTTGTTTTAAACCATTAAAAAGATGGGTAACCATGTTAAAGCAGGGTAAATACTCAGGGCACTAAAAACACACTACCATTTTCACATTGTTGTAGAAAATCAATCTCACTGACATACTTTCAAAGTGAAAACTTCAAAAGCAGGTGGCACTCCTCAGGCACCAGCTACATGTTTGCAGGGAAAAAGAAGGGGCCACCTGTGCCCCACAAGCCCTGCCTATGAGGCGTCTAACTAGAACACAGTATCTCAGCTCAAATTTACTCCCACAGTTGCTTTTACAAAAAAAAAAAAAAAATCATAAAAATGTCCAAATCCTCTTTTTTGTTTAAATTGCCCAAGTGGCACCTATTTGCCTGCAGCACTAAAGCAGACACTGCGGAGAGAAAGATCGATAGCAGGAAATGGAGAGGCTGGGGCTTCAGCGCAAACTTGGGCTGACATTATTGATTTCACCTAGTTCAGCTGGCCTTGTAATTAAAATGTAAATTTGAGAAAGAGATTATGTCCTGACAGAAATGGTAGGATTAAGAGGAAGATAAAAGCCCCTCAGTGAAAATTCAGAGAGAAATGAGAAAGAGAAAGAGCACCAGTTTCCTCAGCTGTGTGGATTTGGACTAAATCTAAATACTTCAGATTCACCTGGGTTTAATTGAAAACACAGCAACAGAATATAAACTAGTGTTATGAACTACATTTCCTCCACACCAGCACCACAGAGACCAGGTAGGAACACAAGAGCCCCACCCTGAGAGGTGGTCCTGCACACCCCAACAGCTCTAGGAGGTCACCACCTGGGGCTGACCCAGGAGCCCTTCCCTCTCTGTGCCCCGCTGGCTGGGGGAGGCAGGACAGGCCACTAAACTTGCCTGGAGGGACAGATGCCACACCCTGCTTCCTACCCTGTTCACCATCCACTTGTTTTCAACTTGAAGGCACCAGACCCACACCAGCCATTGTCCCCTTCAAGGCTGAAGACAATGTCCTGAGCCTTTCAAATTAAAGTGGTGAATTAGTGGCAATACAAGTCCCTGGGCCCCTGCCCCAACAGCTCAGGCATGGTGGGCCCTGTGGTCCAGTCCTCCACGGTCCTTAAAAGGGAAGTCACAAGGCTACTTGCCCAGAGCTGAGAACACAGACGGAGGCCTGGTTAGGGAGAGGTATGGCTACGGGCCGGAGGAAGGAGACAGAGGCCACTCAGCTGGTCTGCTAGGTGCCTGTAGGAAGTGGCAGATCTGAGAGTGCCACATAATGGCCCACAGAGGGTCCCCAACTGGCTCCCAGTGTCTGGTCCCTTTCAGACTCTCAAACATGCACTGACCCCAGGAGCTCAGCCACCCACTGAACAGGCCCACATGGCAGGGCCCAGAAGTTGCCAAGTGGAACACTCAATAGGTCCTGCCTTCCTGGGCCATCCAGTCACACGAGCTATCTTAACACATCTGTGTTTCCTCTCTCAGACCCCGATTCAAACCAACTTCTCTGTCTCACCACAGAACCTAGGGCTGGAGCCTCTCTTGAAGCCTGTGTGCCGCGGAGGCTGACCTGCACCCTGCCCCTGGAGGGCCGCAGCCCTGGGGAGCAGACATGGCTTTTAGGGGATCGTTGGCAGAGAGGGAAATTCTAGACGGCAGGGGCTGCAGTAGCTAAACTCTGCCCCCCATGTAATCAGAAGTTGCTCCCAACTGTGGGGCAGGCAAATCATCCTGGGCACTGTCTTGCATCCACAGCTGTGTCCATGGCGAGAAAGGGTTCACCTCTCTGGTGACAGTCCTGAGAAAAGGCGGGTCACACACACCTTATCACCCTCTCACCAGAGAAGTCGTCTGCTCCAGGAGATGCCTTCCTCACGCTTGGATGTGCCATGGGAAGGAGACCTTCCAGGCCCTGAGCAAGCTGCCAGGCATGGGGACCAAGAGCTAAATTGAGGGAGGCAGGAGCTGCCCCCACAGTGGGTCTGCACACAGGAACAGACCACGGGGCACCCTCTGCCTAGGCCTGGGCCTCTGAGGGCTGCCCAGCACACAGAGCCCCACAGGACAACTGTGGGCCTGGGCACCGGAGGAAGATTTTTAAATGAAAGCAGCAATTACTGTCAGCAAAACTCTGTACGGCAGCCTGGAGGTCCCGCTGAAGCCCAACCTCCTGCCCCTTGGAGCTGGCCAGACCTTAGAGCATGGGGCTGAGGGGAGCATCCTAAGTGGCCCCCAGGCCTCACTGCCAGTGGTATAGCAGCAGCTCCACCCCCTATACTCACCCAGCAGGTGGTCAGGGACACAAGTCTCAAACCCCTCCTTCTCTGGGACCTCCACGAAGTCCTCGTCCTCGTCCTCCGAGGCATCTGTCTGTGGAAATACCCCAAGCCCAGGTAAACTCCTAGAACCACTCTCAGTGGACAGAGCCCAGGAGGCCCGTTTCAGGCACTTTTTCTCTAGGTGGCTTTCACTGCCTACACAGCTGTTCTTATTCCCCAAACCACATCATCCCACACTGTGGGCCATTTAGAGTCAACGTTACGGCTCGGCGCCT